TCGGCGCGGTGCTGCGGCCGGGCGGTAAGTGCGGGCCGGGGGAGCGGGCCCTAGCGGGGAGGGCGGCCCGGGAGCCGCAAGCACGCGTGGCGGAGCGGGCTGCTGCAGCAGGGCTGGGACCGGACGGGACGGAGCGTGTGCGTGCCTGTTTGCAGGATAGTATGTATTATCATACAGACGTGCCCACTTGCACAAGTGTGTGTTCTTTCAGAGCTGTGATTAAAGTTAAGCCCCTGCACCAGTTTGCAGGTGTGGGTGTTTGGCTGCGGCCCAGGCTGGGCACTTCAGCTGGGGTGTGCCAGGGCTCCTGCTGGGACCAAAGCCAGAGCAGATGGTGTCTCCCCTCCACTCAAGGTCAGACCGATGGCCAAATTTGGGGTCAGGAAGGGATTTTACCCTATGGTCAGATTGGTAAGGACTGTGGGGTTTTTTGATTTCCTCCATAGCAGGGCCATGGCCCCTCTACCCGAGGCTTGTGAGCATGTATTAACAACGTTAGACGCTGGAAGTTGGTTTCCGTGGTTCCTTTGCTTTTCCTGTGGCAGGTTAGGGTGTTAGGTCTGTGTTGTGTTGGGGTTGAGAGTAACCTTAGAATTTATATAAGATGGTTTGGATAGGGACATTGGCAACATGTAAGGGGTGCATGCGGGTGCACATGCACCCTTTGAGATTGGCCATACCCCCGCCTTGAGAGAAGCACCAGCAGCACTTCCAGGTTTGCCACCGGCACTTCCAGTTTTGCAGTCGACCGCTGGGGGACCCTCTCCCCACCCCAGTTGGTGATTGATTGGCTGCTGGTGCCCCCCCAGTATTAGGAGGCACCAGTTGCCCATGGATAGAGATGATCCTGCCCCAGGCAGGGGATTGGACTAGATCAGTGTTTCTCAACTGGTGAGTCACAACCCAAAAGTGGGTCGCAAGAATATGTGAAAGGGTCATGAACAAACTTTAAAAATGGATTCTCCTTTAAAGGAGAAAAACATGGGGAATCATGGCTTTTCCTTTGCAGGCTGGCAGAGATCCAGCCTGTAAGGGGCTGCTTAGGGGCCCATGTGCCCCACCCTCTGCCCCACACACTTTAGGACTGGGTCCTGGGAGCAGTGGGGCAGGAGTGAGGGGTGCTGGGTCAGGACTGGCCATTGATGTTTACACATGGGTCCTGGTACAAAAAAGAGTAGATGAACTCTCCCTTCTAGCCTGACTTCTCTATGATTTGGACCTTATATTACCAGTAAAATAGAAGCAAGAAGTGTGGATTTTCTAAACGCATACACCCCACATACAGGAATAGGCAATTCCATTTTAAAAAGAGCTATTGAGTAAATAATTTAGTTTGCCTTTGCTACTGGTTAGCATGTACAAGTGTTTGTTAATAAATATTTATGAAGAAAGACTTTTTACATTATTGAGCTATTTTTTTCTGATTCTTATTTAGTCCAAGACACAGCCTCTGGAATCTACTAAAGAAGAGAACAAAAAGAAGCCAGTTTTGGGAAAGCTTGGAAATTTGTTTAGTCCAGGGAGGAGGAAACATGCCAAATATCCAATAGAATCTTCGAGTCCAACTGTGAAAAGTAAGAGATCAGTTTCTCCTTGTAAAGAGACGGCCACTGAGAAATCGATAGGCATAGCAGACACAGAGGAAAGATCTGAAACTCTGCAAGCACAGGAGGCTGCACAAAGTTGGGATGCTGCAGAATGTAGTAGTAAAGGAGCCTCTTCTGATGAGTGGTCACCTGGTTGGAACAGCAGTAATGAAACCATAAAAAACACATTTTTTGCAAGTGACTTTACTTTGGAGGGATTAGAACTAGGAACAGATCTCATTAATTCAACAACACCAGATTTTCTGAAGAGCTTGAATAGTGTATCTTGTGAAGACTTAGAAAACAGCATATTAAACCACAAGCAATTAGTGAATGTGCAAGTTTCTGCAGAACCTGAGTATGCAGAATCAAAGGAATTCCCACGGAGTTTGGAATCCAAAGCAAGTGGGCGCGCACAGTCTACTAGAGTTTTAAAATTTGATATCTATCTTAGAAAAACAGAAGAAACACTTTCTCATGAATCTGTGGCTTCTGTAACAGGAGAAACGTGTGGGGATATAGACACAATGGATAAAAAACCTGCAAATAGAAGATCTGGAAAAAGGAGGAAATCTCAGTCTTCTAGTGACACTCCAAATGGTGAAAGAAACCAGACTGACAGCTCTTCAAAAGACGATTCAGTTTTTGTTGATGATGCTTCCTCTGATGCAGGAAAGATAAACTCAGAGAGAAGAATTAAGTCTCCTCCTCAGACTCCTGAACGGAATTCTTTTTCTAGTAATCAGGACTTAAAAGTTGGTTCTAGTCACAAGGGGCTTCCTAAAGCTGAAACTGATAAAAGCAAACAGCAGGCTTCCACTTCAGCCCCATTCAGAAGAAGATCGCTTAAAAAGAATCAATCTGATATAGTCCCTGTTTCACCCACAGGTTCAAAGACTCAGGTAAAAGATTCTGTGCCAAAAAGGCAATCTGTAACAGCAACAGAAAGTAACTCAACAACGAAAAATGCTTCAGTGGAAAAGGGAACTGTATCTGTATCCTCAGGTGAAAATAACATGGTTTCTAAGGTTGCTGCAGTTGCTAACACGGAAAACTCCACTTCATTACTTGCTGAAGGTAGAACTGAATCTAAGACAGTAAAACAGATAAACAGCTTTGATGGAAGAGCTCCCCTGTGTACGGAAAGGATTGAAAATGGAGAGCTAGGTAAAACATCCGAAAAATTAACACGTTCTGATTCAGACAGCTCAAATCGGAGAACTGTGGATGGTTCCAGAATGACAGTTACAACAAAAATTAGTCTGTAAGTAATTTTTTATACTTCTATCTAATTTAGCAAGATCAGTGTCACTTTGTTGGGGTTATTTGACCCCAGCAGTCTTTGCTGCCCAGAGCAGGGGGCTGGACCCAATGATCTCAGAAGGTCCCTAAAATGTGAATCTGTAAAATCCTTTGATAAACTTACGGCACACTTTATTAATAAAGAATTAAATCCATATTGGATGGTTATAGTCATGGTGGTCCAAGAAATGTATGGGAGGCAAGGAGGAATTTTTTTTTTTTATGATCTCTTTTATTAGACATAATGTATAGTTGGACCAGCTTTTGGGCAAGAAGGGCACTTAATGCCTGAAAGCTTGTCCAATATCTCTCCCATCTTTCCAGTCAGTCCAATAAAAATATCAAGAAACACTTCTTGCCTCTCATGTATATCCATATAAAGTATTCTTGGTTAATAATAACATTGTGAACTTGAATTTCTGATATAATGACCTCGTAATTGATACATACCAGTATCACTTAAAGGTTACTATAACTAAAAATATTACCAACATCTCTCTCTCTCAGTTTTCCTTGTGCTCCAACGGCGCTTTGCGTATTTCACTCTTCCCCTGTATAGTCAGTCAGTCTCTCTTTTGTTTACAAGACGCTGACAACCATCAGCAAAAGAAGACTCTTTAAAACTTGCCTGTTTTAGGAGGTAGAATTAAAAAAAAAAAAAGATCATTTTTGCAAAAACGTTAAATATCCTGTGTCACTTCATATGACAGTAAGTCATGTTTTAGAAAGCCCCATCTTTAGTTACCATAAGATGAATGCTCAATTTGAATTCAGAAGGTTGAAAAGCAGAATGCTTGGCACTATTGAGTTTGCCCGGACACTTAAAAGCAGGGTAATATGACCCCTATCACTAGCTGAAACTTGGTGGTAATTTTATAGATAAGGGGTTCTGCTGGTGATGAATGTAACTCCATTGAATTTAGTGTAGCTATCCCAATTCCTAGCACCTGAGGATGTGGCTGGAGATTTTCTAATGTAAAAATATTGGAGTGAGAAATATATTCAGGTTATTATTTTAAGCAGCAAATGTGGTTTGTGTTCTGTTTGGGTTATTTTGTTATTGTTTGAGGATAGCACATTTTATTTGATCTGTACTAGGATCAGCTATACAAATTCAACTGCTCCTGCCAATAGTTGTGCACATGAGTAACAGCAGCATTACTATGCACATGTCTTAATATTACAGCTGTCAGGGCCTGAGCCTGAAAATGTCCTTCACATAAAAAAAAAAAAAAAAAAAAA